GAAAATATTAGTGAATTTAAAGATATAACAATAAAAACTATAAAGAAAATAAGCATGATAAGAAAAATAATTTTATAAAAGGAGCATTAATGAGCTGTGGGTGAACTTCAAGCAACCTATCATGTAAATAATTGGATTTCACAAGGCAGGGAGAGGACAGGGGATGACTCGAGAAATATTTAAAGAAACAATGACTAAAAATGTTCCAAATTTGAGAAAAACTATAAACCCACAGATGTAAGAAGATCAAAAAGCCTAAATCATGAAAAAAGGAAAAAAACTACATATCACAATCAAATTACTGAAAATCATCTATAAATAGAAAATCTGAGAAGCAGTCAGAGGGAAAAAAAGACATGTTATATAGAGAGGAACAAATATAAATATGCATATATATCTCAACCTAAAATTCCATACCCCCAAAAATATCTCTCAGAAATGAATGTGAAAAAAGACATTTGCAGACATTATAAACCTGAAAAAGTGATGTTATCAGACCTTACGCTATAACAAATATCTTTAACATGTGAAGGAAATCCTTCACACAGAAAGGAAATAAATCAAGATGATAATATGGATTTATACAATGTAATAGAGAACATCAGAAATGATAATTACTTGGTTAAATATATATAAACTTTTTTTCTTATTATTTAAATCTCCTTTTGGAAACTTGAATACTGATGGGTAACCTTGGCACTCTCAAGGTTTGGTTTTAGGAGTATCTTTTACCACAACTTAATCTAGCACATCCTAAGTGATCCCAATTTATTTTTGTTTGTATTCAATAATTTCAAAACTGCATATTTTAGACTGATTATATAATTATTTTTAATTGATCTTTTGAATTGTTCTCATGATGTCTTGCTTTTTCAAGTGTGTAGTTATGTTTTATTATAAATTTAAATTCATTGAAACTTTATGTGTGGGATTTTAGGATTTATTAGGGCTAATGTGTTTAGGTTTTACTTACTCTTAGGTTATAGTTAATTCCTACACATAGTCTTCCCTTCTACATCTCTGCCCCTCTGGGGCCTCAACTGAAAACTTGGAATATTGACTAAGACATCTTCTTGGATGGCTTTGAACTCCAATAGTAACTACTGAAATTGCTTTCAGATCTTTATTCTCCTAGCTGCTGTTTTCAGCTGGGGGAACAATTTGTGGATAACTCACATACATACTTTTAGGCTACTTCTCTTATGGTTCCAAATCTTTAGATCAAGACATTTTGTCAGACCTGCACTTCTACTTTGTCACATTGCCAGATAAGACAGCACCTTTCACATGGGTTCCATTCCCCCATGACTTGATTTAGAACACTCCTTAGGAAAAATGCTGGCTGAATATGCCACTCAAGAAACGTAAGCCTTTGTTCATTGCCCCATTATGGAGCCAGAGACACAAATCTTCCCTCAGCAATTTGGAGTTGATGCTTTAAAACACAACAGGGTTCTTTTTTCCAAGCTAGCCTCAGCACACAGGAACCCTGCACTGGGCTCCACAGATAATAGGTATAATATTCTTTCATTCCTTTTTCTGCCTATATGTACTGATTTTTATAATTTAAATTTGTTTTATTCTGTACAATGAATTCAATATTAGAAAGATTCAATGTATATCATGTTGAGTAAAATGGAGATGTGGAGAATTAGGCAGATCTACTCATTATCTCTTAGCGTCTTTATATATCAGAAAATAGCACCAGACATTTAGTTGAATACATTTCTTAGATGTTCTCATAGCTATGAGTGTTTTGACTAGTCTAGCCAATGGGGATAAATCAATACTTGTACTCTGGTAGAAGAGGGTGTATACTACTCCTTGCTAACTTTCTTCTGACTGTTATGTAGGTCAGATTATTCAAAGCTCCATGTGCTAGCTCCAACCATGAGATACCCTTGGGAATGGGAATTATGCATAACAAAGCAACATGGTCAGAGAAGCTAAAGTCTCTATCACAATGCATTGCTCCGGCACCTCTGGGATAGCTACTTCAGGACAAGTAGAGAAGAAAACTTCTATCTTGTTTAAACCCATATTGATTTTTATGCTACTTATAGCCACATCTAATTCTAAATTATACATTCTTTAATTCAGATGCTATATGATGACTTCTTTTAAATCCTGAATTATTTATATGTTATATTTATGAAAACTTAGATATAGACCAAATGGGGGAAAAATGAAAGTTTATAGTCATGATTTTATTTCTGATTCTTTATCTTAAAGCAATTGGTATTTATACCTGTGACACCAGAAGCCATAAGCAGTAGAAATTTTTAATAATGTCAGAATTTTAGTGGGAGAAAAGGTAATATCAAAATTATTGAGACAAAGTCAAAGTTTAGCTGATATTCTCATGCTTAAAAATGTGAAAAACTAAGCACATAAACATTATAAGTCAGATAGTGATGATTTTAGGCACCTTTGGAAAGACATTAAAATGTAGTATGATTGGTACAGAGTTCATTAAAATTAAATAAATAAATGCCCCCTTTTTAATTTACTGTTTCAGTATGCATTTTTCTTATATTTAAGCCATTCAATCATATCCTATCTAATATTCTTTAAATGATTATATTTTAAATAATTTTCATTTTTTCCAAATGGCTGAACACATTGGTGAATTGGCAATGCAACAGATGATTCTGTCACACTGCAAATTGATTAGATTTGAGGACACTCATTTACATAGTTAAAATAACTTTCCCTTGTTTCCATAAAAAACAAGTTCTAGTATGAAGGACATCAGGTACATGCAGTTAAGTCCTCAATAGGCATTTGCTTTCAAGTAAAATTTCTTTGTTTTCTACTATATATATATATATATGTAGTTTATTTATACAAAAGTTATGTAAATTTCCTATGATGTTTTTTGAGTCTTCTTGAAGTGCATATTTTTTAGATTACTCATGTTGCATTGCAGTAAGCATCTGCTCAAATTACCAGGAGAGCATTAAATCAAAAGTGAGGATGTGTGCAGTTTCAAGACATTGGGAATGTTTTATATTCTCAGAGTGCTTTCAATAATGAAAGACTCCCAAATAGCTTACAGGTAAGGGGGTCTGGAGAGATGTAGGGGAATGGCAAGGTGGGCTTGCAGACAAGAAGGTATAATGTTACTACTCAGCAGTCTTGCATTTTCTATGGCATGCTGCTGACCATTGCCTAGCAGGTGGGCATGCCTTAGGCCAAAATTCATGTCTAGGAAGACAAAATAATCTACAGACCCTGTTCAAATACCCCTTTAGAATATAAAAAATTTAGGTGTTCACTCTAATGAAATTCTAAATATAGAAAAATTTGGTTTTTCTTGTTCCTTGGGACTAAATTATAAATCATTTTTCATAAGCATAGAAAGAATCCTGTTGTGTAGCAAAAGAAAGCTTTTACAATTTTTTTCTTTTCACAGCTGGTAATTAGAACAATTAATTAAACTCTTTTAATATGATACCCGCCAACATCACTTGCTAAAGAACTCTCTAAAAGAGGCTATTTATTCATTTAACCCCAAAGTGCACACGACCAATATTGTACAGTACTTGTTTAAAAAATAAATTATAGCAAATATTGACTAGTGTAGTAGGCCCAAAAAGGGTATTCCTAGATGGAAGTGTGACCTCTCAAAAGGACTTAGTTACAAGTAGGTCTGAATAGTACAAGTGTCCTTGTCTCTGCTCTGTGGTACTGTTGATTGGACTTAGCTATTTGATCCAGGGGCAGACACTTGGTTCTAGCTATGACAATCAAGTTCTCATCCCTAGATATCAGACATTTGTAATGGAGAGACATAAAGCCTGGTATCACTAATGCAAAGCCTTACAAAAGGCAGAATTCTCAAAAAAAAAAAAAATCCACGAATTCCTACTGCTGGTTTTCTAGTGTTATCCTTGTTTCTTAGTAGCTTTCTGCTTTCCTAAGTTATTATTTTGATTCCATGAGCTATGGCAAAACCCCTCTATCCGTATATTACTGAGAATCAGTTTTTTTGCTTGCAATCAAGAAAGCATTACTAATGGATAAATTGATATATATTTCTTGCCATTATTTTGAATCATATCTCTATATCTAGTACCTAGGTTGTTAGAAACATCCAGATTTTTATAAACTTCATTATATTTCAAATCTACATCACCCAAGGTGGAAAAGCTGTTATGTAGATAAATTTGTAATTATTTAACATCTACTACTTTTAAGCTTTAAGAGAATCTCTTCTTTAAATAAAAATGGAAGGTAATTCAGAATCAATAGGACATAGATTATAAAGAAAGATTGGCAAGGAAAGAGGCACATCATATAAAGTCATATAGGCATTAAGACCAGAGATATCAAAATGGATTCAATATATCTGAAGCTGGAATTAAATATAATCAGATTTATATTTCCTAGTGGGTAATAGAAGGGGAGAAATGGGAAAAGTGAAACAGAGTAGGAAATTGTTGCTGTAACCCAGATGAGAAGTGATGGTGACTGAGATGGCCAAATGGTTGATAGTATGAACTGTGGTAGGTAATCAGACTTGAGAGAGACATCAGGGTAGAATTTAGACTGAATGCTTGATTATTTGTCAGTCACAAGGGTATAGTGAGGATGAGCAAAGAGGACTTCTGGCCTATGCAGGTACAAAATGATCATGAGCAGAGAAGGAGGAAATAGTAATGTAAGTAATTTAGGGAAGGGAGGAGTTGAAATAAATTCAATTCTAGACACTTTCAGTTGGAAGGACTTGCAAGACCCATACGTGAAAATGTTCAGAATGCTGGTGGAAAGTCAGGAGTAAACAAAATGTTGGGTTGAAGATATCAATTTGCAAGTGATACACAAAGAGATAATGGTTTAAGACTTGAGAGCAGATGCAACTATCTATCAAGAAAATGCAGACAGTGACATATGTAATATTTAAGAAATAGAGGAATATGATTATATTTGTCTTTAAGGTCTACCATACAAAATACTACATACTGGGTTGCTTAAACAACAAAAATGTATATTCTCACAATTCTGGAGAGTGAAAGCCCAAGATTATAAAGTTGGCAGGTTTGATTTCTCCTGATGTCTCTCTCCTTGGGTTGCAAATGACTGCTTTCTTGGTGTGGCCTCACCTGGTCTTTCCTCTGTGTTCTGGAATCCCAAGTATCTCCTCTCCTTCTTAAAAGGGTCTTGTGTTCTATTGGATTAGGGACCCACCTTTATGACCTCATTTAACCTTAATTATTTCCACAAAGGCCCTATCTCCAAACGCAGTCACACTGGGAATGGTCTTCCCTACATAAATGTTGGGGGGCACAAATTGGTCAATAATGATAATCTGAAGGTGCGTCTGAAGGCAAAGGGGAAAATGCAGGACCCGTTATGCACGGATGCCTACAAGAATAAAGAGTGAGGGTCAAAGGTCAACAGAGTCAAGTTCAAGTTTGAAAAACTATAGAGTCAAGTGAAAGAAAACTGAGGAAATCGAGATATTAAGTGTAGAAATTCTTTCCAAACGTTTTTCTCTGAAAGAGAAGAGTTAGTGTTTGCTAAAGGAGAATTTAATGTTGGCCAAAACATTTGTTTTATTAAGAGAACATAGAGCATTTTTAATGCTGCTGAGGGAAGGATGTTAGAGTAGAGGTGTGAGGATTGAACACCATTAATAATCCCTCCCTACACTGTGAGAAAATGCATAGTTTTGTGGGAGGCTTGGGATTTCCCATGTAGTAGCCATAATTTTATATAGACCAGCCTCTACCTGGTTGTATTATTTTTCCCAGGACTGCCCATCAGCCCTTGTTCAGGGGAAGAGATGATAATGATTTTTTTTTTCATTCCAAACTCTAGACTTTTTTCAAGTGAGTGTCATAGAATAAAAATGAGTATGGAGAATCACATTTATTGATTTCCATATACTGAACCATCCTTGCACCACTAGGATGAATGCCACTTGGTCATGGTGGATTATTTTATTGATGTGCTGTTGAAGTAGGTTTGCTTGCATTTTATTAGGAATTTTTGCATCTATATTCATAAGGGATATTGGTCTGTACTTTTCTTTCTTTTTATTTTATTATGTCTATTTCGGGCTTGGTATCAACGTGATACTGGCTTCATAGAATGAGTTGGGGAGGATTCCCTATTTCTCTATGTTATGGAATGATCTGCAGTATGGGTACCAGCTCTTCTTTGTAGGTCTGGTAAAATTCAGCCATAAATCCATGTAGTCTGGGGCTTTTCTTCTGTTAAAAGCTTTTTTATTATTGCTTCAATCTTGGTGCTCATTATTGGAATGCTCAGGTTCAGGAGTTCTATTCTTTCCTGACTGAGTTGTTGGAGGTTGTGTGTCTTTAGGAATTTGTCTATTTCCTCTACATGTTTGAGTTTATGTGCACAGAGATTTCCATAGTATTCACAGATAATATTTTGTATTTCTGTGAGATCAGTTGTAATATCTCCATTTTTATTTCTGATTGAGCTTATTTGGGTCTTTACTCTTCTGTTCCTGGTTAATTGATCAAGAGTTCTATCAATTTTGTTTATCTTTTCAAAGAAAAAATTTTTTTGTTTCATTGATCCTGTGTATTTTTTGTTTGTTTTTTTAGTCATTTCATTTAGTTCTTCTCTGACCTTAGTTATTTCTTTTCTTCTGCTGGCTTTGGATTTGGTTGGCTCTTACTTTTTTAGTTCCTTGAGACATGTCATTAGATCATTGATTTGTGATCTTTCTGTCTTTCTGTTGTAGGCATGTAAGGCTACAAATTTTTTACTTAGGACTGCTTTTGTTGAATCCCATAGATTTTGATAGCTTTTGATACCCTTTTTGATACCATTTTGCCATTCAGTTCAAGGAATCTTTTGATTCCTATCTTAATGTCATTATTGAGCCAATAATCATTCAGCAGCAGGTTTTTTTAATTTTCATGACTTTGTGTAGAACTGAGTGTTTCTCTTGATGTTGATTTTTAGTTTTATTCCACAGTTGCCTGAAAATATATATGGTATGAGTTCTATTTCTTTGAATTTATTGAGACATGTTTTGTGGCCTAAGATATGCTCAAACTTAGAGAATGTCCCATGTGCTCATAAAAAGAATGTATATTTAGTAATTTTTAGGTAAAATGTTCTGGAAATGTCTGTTAGGCCTATTTGTTCTAGAGACCCATATAAGTCCAGTGTTTCTTTATATATTTTCTGCTTCTGTTCAGTTCTCTCAATGGAATGTTGAAGTCCCTGGCCATTATGATGCTACTGTTTATCCCTTTCCTTAACTCTTGTAGAGTTTGGTTTATAAATCTGGGTACACCTCTGTTAGGTGCATAAATATTTAGGATTATTATGTCTTCTTATTGAATTTCTCCCTTAACCATTATATAATGACCATCTTTGTCTTTCTTTACTACTGTTGATTTAAAGTCAATGTTATTGATATGCAAATGACTACACTTGCTTTCTTTTGGTTTCCATTCACATGAAATATTTTTTTCCATCCCTTCACCGTAAGTGCATATGAGTCATTGTGGGTTACATGTGTCTCTTGAAGACAGCAGATACTTGGGTTGTATTTTTTTCATCCATTCAGCCAGCCTACGTCTCCTGAGTGGGGCATTCAAATGATTCATGTTGATTGATACAATAGATATGTGGGATGCTGTTCTATTCATCCTGTTGTATAGTATCTTATTGCTTTATTTTACCTCTTATGCTATAGTTCAATGAGCTCCAAGCTTTAGATTCCGATTACTTTTACACTGGTAGATGTCTATTGTGCTGATTCATGTATAATGCAGTTCTCAGTGTTTCCTGTAGGGCAGGTCTGGTCTTGACAAATTCCTTCAGTGTTTGCTTGTCCGGAAAAGTCTTTATTTCTCCTTCATATATGAAACTTAGTTTTGTAAGATACCAAATTCACCTGGCAGTTGTTCTGTTTAAGAAGATTGAAGATGGGACCCCAATCCCTTCTTGTTTGTAAGGTCTTAGTTGAGAATCTACAGTTAGCCTGCTGTATTTTTCTTTGTAAGTTACTTGATGTTTTCGTCTCATTACTTACAGAAGTTCCTCTTTTGTGTTTACTTTGGCCAGTCTGAAGACTATGTTTCTTGGTGATTGCCTGTTTGCAAGGACTCTCCCAGGTGTTCATTGAGCTTCTTGTACCTGGAGGTCTAAATCTCTAGCAGGACCAGGGAAGTTTTTCTCAATCATTCCCTCAAATAGGTTTTCTAGCCCTTGTGTGTTCTCTTCTTCACTATCAGTGATGTCTATGATTCTTATATTTGGCTGTTTCACATAATCCTGTATTTCTTATAGGCTTTGTTCATTCCTCTTAATTCTCAGTTCTTTATTTTTGAGTGACTGGTTTAATTCAAAAGAGTTGTCTTCAAGCTCTGAGATTTTTTCTTCTGCCTGGTTTATTCTATTCTTAAAACTTATCAATTTTCAGGAGTTCTCTTTTTGTTTTATTTTAAATATGTTGATCTCTTCAATCAAATGAATTTTCCAAGACCATGGACCACAGAGTCCATATGGGATGAGGAAGAACATGATTTTACTTATATAACAATATTTACATAAAGCACATGAGGTAGCAGGCTGTATTCTATGCACTTTACAAAAATTAATTTAAGCAGTGACTTGAGCAGAATGAGAAATATGAAAATTTAGGGTGCTAAATGGAGGACCTAAGACAATTGAAAAACTAATTTATAGGACCAAATGAGAGAAAATATTAAATAGTGCTTGATACACTGCTTCATGTTTTATTCTTCAATCAGAATCTTGGAAACACCATGTAAACCCACAGACATAAGTTAGGTGACATTAAATATCTTTTATGACTCAAGGATTATGTGTTCAGCTCTAAGAACTGATGATTTTATATAGCTCAAAATTCCTATCATAACAAAATCACAATCATCCTATTGGACAGCTTATTAAGTATATAATCCTTGGTTCCCTTTCTTATCTTGTTGAGGAAACTTCAAACAGACATTTTGGTAGAATTAGGAAACCTGATTGGATTTGTAGTCTTTCCTATAACCGATTTCATCCATCCTCTGAACATAAGCAAGGCAGTCTGCTCTTGATTCATGATAACCTCTATTATAATTTTGTACCAATTCTCAGGCTTATAGAGTTCTAAAACATTATTATTTTTTTAACTAGAGAGAAAAAGAGGATATTATACCAGTTCACATAAATTTAAAGATAATTCATCTGATGTTTACTTGGTTTTATTGTTTGTTTTATTTTTTATTCTCATCTCCTCTATCTATCCATCATCCCTTGGGCCATCTCTCTCCTCATTTTGAGTTGATTAAAGCAAAATTCTAAATTGTCTATTTTGGCTGATTCTAAACTCTATATGAAGTTTGAGTTCATTGTTAATAGCTTCGTCTCTATTGCTTGGCCATTGTCTTGCTATTGTCCTTTGGCCATAAGTCCCATGATGTGCCTCCTATTTCCTTGAGGAATTTATTTTTTTTCTTTTCTTTTCCATGTAGGGACAGAAGAAAAACATATTCCTGTACATATAATCTTCACAGAAGATAATGGATCTTCAGAATAACATTTATTTGGAGTTCTGAGATGATTTTTCTTTATTTGCCAAATAAAGAATGGAATACTTCACATTCAGAATCTAATAGCTGTTTTATTCCAAGTTTCCTTTTTTTATATATTCTATTAACTTCTGAATACCTATAACCCTCTTTTCTGACTCAGCGTGATTTATTTTTCAAAGATTCTAGTCATTTATAGATTTTAATATGGCATTTTATATTGGTCATGGTTCAGAAATCTTGGCAAACTCTATCTGATGGATGATATTTACAAAAAGAATTCTATTTCCATGGTCATATCCTGCATTCTGCCACACTAATGCTCACAAGGAGATGCTGTATTGAATATATTATTAAATTTAATACAATCTGAAGTAAAATTGAATTTATTAAATTATTTGTTACATGGCTTATAACTATTCACTTTATTTTAGGCTGGTATAGCAATTGTCTTAAAAGACGTATAATGAAGACAGGGAGAATTTCAAATTCAAATATTTTTAAAAGTGCTGAGAATATTGAAACAACATGCAAATATTTAATATTCCCAAATTTGAGAATCATTA